CCCCCCCCACCCCCGGTCGACATTATCGGGACAAAACACAATCAACCACTTTAACAAACTGCAAACAAAGAAACTCCATCAAATCAGCTTCAAACTCAGTTTTTAAAATCGGATTCTTGTTCTCGTGTCGACAGCGGCAGAAAAAACGACTTTGACCTTTCACAGTGCATTTGTCGTAACAGAAGACTCTTAGAAGGATCCATCCATCCAGTTCTCTCTGCTGATCCGGGGTCAGGGCACAGAGGCAGCAGGCTGGAGGATCTGAGGTGTCCCTCCGTCCTGATGGGATTCATATTCCTTTTATTCATACAAGCGGCCAAATGCTGAATACTGACTTGTAGATGTGTTGAGGCCGGGACTCTTATCAAACATGTGACGTTTGGTGCTGAAGTTAAAACAACTTCCTGTTTCCAGACACGCCCTCTCACAAAAACTCACGAAGAGAACAACGTTTCATCATCAAGGTGTTTACGTTGCTGTGACATTTGAAGTCGATCTCTTTGTTAAAGTACGATTTGTGTGAATCGCCACTTTAGGGGGCGCTATCGAGTCCGCTGGGCACGCCCACGCACAAAAAACATTTGAAACTTCAAATTTCTCGTGCGTCGGAATTTTGTGCTTAAGTTGCCAAATATTCGATTCGTTGCTACGAAGGAGAGAAATTATTCCTTGATTTTCAATAGAGTGTGCAGGAAATGAAACTGAAACAGATTTGTGCATCAGTCGCTGAAGCAAATGAGCAGAGTCACTGGGAAACACAAGGGAGAAGTTTGTTGTTCAGTTTAATATGAACGTGCTCTTCTCACAATACGTCGTGTGGCGTTGTTCGTCCTGAAGATGGTGAACTGTACGCTGGGACCTCGGTCGACTTCATGGGAGCAAACGCTGCGATCTTCCGCACGACGGTCCGGGGCAGCAGTCAACACTACATCCGCACCGAAGCCTACGACCAGAACTGGCTGAACGGTGAGACGCACCAGTCTGAGCGTTTGTCTTAGGCTGCTTCTCTCCTCCATCTGAAAACAGATTCTCATTTCCGTCTTCCAGTTATTTTCTATTTTCCTCCTCCCTAACGCTCCTCTTCTTCCTTCGTCCCCCGTCTACGTCCTGTCACCCCCAGAGCCGGAGTTCATTGGCTCCTTCTCCATCCCGGACACCCACAGTCCCGACGACGACAAGGTCTACTTCTTCTTCAAGGAGAAGGCGGTGGAGGCCGGACAGTGGGACAAGCGGGTTTACAGTCGTGTGGCTCGAGTCTGCAAGGTAGAGACAAAGAGGCAGAAAGAAAATGTACAACACAACAATGTGTTCTGTTCTAACATCGCACAGAAGAATGGTTAAAGGACACGTGAGGTTTTCTCTCGTTTGTAATCGTTTGTAATTTTTTTGTGAATATAAAAGTTCTGCAAAGTTCAAAAGCCCAAAGTTTGTGGTAAAGGGAGAAAACACTGAGGCTCCTGAAGCACCTCGTCCGATAACAGCTTTATTTGTTTAAACGTTGAACGCTTGTAACTACGGCAGCTGACGAGGTTCATTCTTGTCGTTCTTGTTGAGGAAATCTCCGAGGTGAGTTTAAATACGTGTTTAATAAAATACACCTGATGTTTCAGTGTCTTTCTTTAAAGCAGCCTCTCACAGCTTCAGCTGATGTGAAACAGCAGCTGCTGCAGAGAACTTCACAATCCACTGAGTCGTCGTCTTTTTGAGTTTCTTCGCTCGTTTGGTGAATGTTAATGAAGAGAATGTTTTCCTCTTCATCTCGATCCAGAACGATGTCGGAGGGAAGCGGAGTCTGATCAACCGCTGGACGACCTTCCTGAAAGCCAGACTCGTCTGTTCTGTTCCCAGACCGTCCGGCGTCGACACGCACTTCGATGAGCTGGGTAACGCTCCGTCCCTCCTGTTCCTTCCTTCTCTGCCCTCCACCTCTTGTTTCACCTCTGGAACAAACCATCGTCCCTCCTGTTGTCCTCTTTCTCCTCCTCTATCTTCTCCTCTCTAAACACAAGAGGACGCAGTGTGAGTCCGTCCCCTCCTTTCCTTCCCTCGTCTTTCCTCCCATGTATTTTATCACCTCAGCTTTTCGAAAGAAGCTGTGAACTCTCTCACAAACTGTCTCGTTCACTATGTTGAAGATCGATGCTCTGACTTTGTGTTGTGTTTTATTTCCAGAGGACATTTTTGTTCTGGAAACCAAAGACCCTCAAAATCCCACCATCTATGGCGTCTTCAGCACGTCCAGGTGAGAACACGTCGAGCAGCAGCTCCAGGAAACACAGACACGTTTGATGAAAACTCACTCAGCGTGTCAGCTGGTGCACAACCGATGGTCACGAACCCAAGAAATATACATGCTGACCATCATGCATTGTGTTTAGCGGATTGAGAGACAAATGGTCGACAGACGAGAGGAGGGCGAGAGAATCTTGTGAATCAATGTGACTGAGTGAGTGAGTGAGTGAGTGAGTGAGTGAATGAGTGAGTGAATGAGTGACTGGACGGACGCAGCGAAACACTTGAGGTTCTATAGACACTAAATCTTTCTGTTGATTCATGAGCTCAGTTTATTAGGAACAGACTGAAGTTTCAATCGTGGGACAACAACACAACAAAGTGAGTGAGTGAGTGAATGAATGAATGAGTGAGTGAGTGAGTGAATGAGTGATTTCAGACACAACCATGGACCAAAGATTTTTTACTTCTGAGGAAACATTTTAACTTTTGTGAAACTTTCTGAAAACTCCAACAATGGAAGGAAATCTTTCTCCTCATTAACGTGCACGCCCACGGCCAGGTCGGCTCGTGCACGCCCAGTGGTGCAGATCAGACGTGTGTGTGTGTGTGTGTGTGTGTGTGTGTGCGTCTGCGTTGGGGTGAAAGGTGAAGAGGCCCAGCTGGTTTTGTTATTTTAACCCTGACGTATGAAAGCTCTCCCACTTCTTTTCTCCTCTTCCTGTCCTGTTCTCTCTCTCCACTCTTTCATCCCTTTCTTCCCTGTTCAATACAAAACATTCA